GTGCTGCAAGTGTTGCATATGATGTCCATCTACTGGCACCGGTCCGGCAAGAATGCGGAGCTCGAACTCCTCACCACTTTCACCAATCGCTTGCATTTGTCCCAAACCACTGAAGAAGTGAGTGATGGACGCAAACCATTGATTTGTTTTGTGTTTTTCTTTTCAGTACATCTGATGTTAGGATTAATTTGTATTATTGTTTGACCCGAAGGTTGGCATTGATGTCAAAGATCTGTTGACGAGTTTATCGCATCTAACGCTTTGACTCCATGAACCCGATTAGTTTTCTATTATACAGTATTTTTAATAAGTTTACACAGAATTTTATGTCATATGAATTTTATTTATTAAATTTAGACAATTTAATCCATTAAACCAAATCAAAACCCATTAATCCATTTATTTGCTACATCTTTAATGAATTATTAAAAATAAATTTTACGGTAAAAATAATACTGGTGTATATTATTATAAATAGGTACCAATACAGTAGTACCGGTAAATCTATTTTTAATACTATTGTTGTTGTACGGTATTACTCGGTAGTATAGCACCGTAAACATTTTATACTATTACTAGTATTTCCGGTATATTAATACTACAGTACGGTATGTTGTTTAGTACAGATTCTGTACTTTAGTTTGATTTAAATCTCGAACTGAACTCACATTACAATCCAATAGTTCCCATAAATACAAACTTTGTATACTTTGATAATAAAAGTCATATCAAAATAGAAACACTAATAAAACTCATACCATTAATTAGGCTTATTATCTAGTAATTTTATTTTCATTGACACTTAGTGATTGCCTGTCCTTGGACTTTTGAACTGACCGGTGGGTGGGGGATACGTCATCCCTAAAACCCCCGATAGTAACAAGATATGCCGGCACACTGTATGTCCCAATGGTTAGGATTCAATATTTTTGATTGAAAGAACATTTTGTTATAAATCATTTGTAGTAAAAGTAAAAATTTTATTTCATATTTAGTCGTAAGAATTAAACACAACTCGTATTATAATCTCAAAATATACGATAAAAAACAGATCCTATAATGAAACCATGATTTTGAGCACATAATTGTCATATTTAGTTGTCCTTAAAGTTTGCGGCCCTCTTCTCGACGAATGCCTTCATTCCCTCCGATCGGTCGCTCTATTCATTATAAGACAAGGGGACTGTTAGCCAACAAAATAGCAATTAAATCAATTCGTATCATACGGTGGCAAACGTGGCGTGAAAGTAGCGCTTCTCTGACTTCAGACCTTGACTTAGAGTCGTCTCATATGCTGTTCAAAGAGTTGTCATTCATTTAAATAAGTTTGTTATCATTTCGTATATTAGACATACGAACCGGTATTCACAGATTCTTTACAAATAGCGACAATTAGTTTAGAATTATTGGCAATCTTTTCACCCAATTTGATGGCTTCGTCCACAACTTTGTCCGCCGGAAACACTTTACTAACCATTCCTATAGTAAGGCATAATTATTACAATCTTAACCTAAAGTCAATTACAACGGGTGTCAAAACTGACCCCAACTCTCAGCCTCTTTAGCCGTGATTTGATTTCCAGTTAAAACCATTTCCATTGTCCGAGATTTGCCGATAACTCGGGTCAGTCGCTGAGTTCCACCGGCACCTGACGTCCAGTGTATACAATAAAAGGCTTATCAGTAAACATAGAAGCGATGGCATGATATTCACTCAGATATTTATGGTAATGATATGCACTAAGACTATTACACTCTATACAGTGTTTAGAGTAAACAAATCAAAACATAGATAAACTGATTAAAAGTTCAATTCGGAGTACTTCTCGTGTACTCGACTCGGAGTAACTCAAGAACTCATCAAATGATAGCAAATGCTATTTCAAAGCGTATAACAATTACACGACATTTCATAATATAAACAAAATTCATGGCACAGACCAGGGATGGCACCGATGAGTATCTCCGGCTGACCAAATTTTGCGTTGTCGCCGGCGTATACGATATCACACATGAGGGCCAACTCGCAGCCGCCGCCCAACTGTCACACCAAGCGTTCAACTCATTGATAATATCGCACTAAGAATATCATGGCGTATGTCTTACGGCGTATCCATTGACGGCGGCGATGGTAGGCTTCACAGATCGCGCGACTCGATCCCAATGGGACAGGAAGTTGCCGGCGAAACACTGCGCGAACGTGTTGTCCACCATTTCCTTGATGTCGGCGCCGGCTATCAGTTCAACAGTCAGGCAAACAATGGTTAGTAAAGAGATGGCGAGCGATAAGAAGAGTACGGACCGGCGAATGCCTTCTCATTTCCGGTCAAAACGATGGCAGCGATGTCTTTGTCGGCCTCGAACTCGTCGATGGCTTTCGACACTTCACTCATGAGTCCATCGCATAAGGCGTTCAGAGCTTTCGGTCGATTCAGTTGAATGAATCCAATGTTATTCTTCTGGCCCTTCACTCCAACGTTGATATGAGTGTACGCTTTGACAGACATTACAACACCGTTAGACCAATATTAAGACCATCGGGTTTACACACAAACATGTCTACTGCGGCCAGAATTG